CAACCCTCCAATGAGTCAGGAACGGCCACCCCTCAGTGTTACGGACTACAAAATAACACCTCTTCCAGGCCGAGACTTTGTTTGGGAGCTCGTGCAACAACTTGTACCTGGGGCAAGGAGACATGTAATAGCTTCGCCTGTGCTCGGATAGAACACAAGCTGAATTTTTCTTGATAAAAAGGATCGAAGAAAAAGTGTCAAGGTCTAGAGGTCGGTTATAATCGTGGAAAAGGGAGATGGTACCTACGATGTTGCGGATAGAGTTCGGATGGAGCTGGTCTATGGCGATATCAAAAAACTTGACGATCTCAACTATGAACTAATGGAGTGGGAAGCGCAACCCGGCTACGAGCTGCTCCTCAAAGACCACAATCTTGTCATGACCGTGATCCCAAGGAAAGTTGCCTAAGGGAATGTTGTACACTTAGTTATTGGGGAGCCTATACCGAGCTACTATGAACAAGAGCCTATCCGCTGTCATTGAAGACGGGCCGAAGCTGTCTGGCAAACGACCCTGACGCAAAATGGAGGCCGACCTGCCAGAAGGCTCGCGCTCTTGCCGAGGTGAGTTCGCCTCGGATGGGCTGGAGTCCACATCCTTTGCCGAAGTGCCCACCTCGGCAGGACAAGGCTTCGCGGTCTGTGCCGAGGTGCCCACCTTGACCCCAGCAGACTCACCGCTTCCCATCTAAGAGACTATCTAAACTAAGACTAGACATACTAAAGGAATGGACAACGAAATCGAAAACAAGAAAAGACGAACTGACCAAAGAAAATCGAAGAGAGCAAGATGACCTCGGACACGGGGATAGTTGACACCGAGCTAGGAGACTTGAACACGACCTCAAAGAACTCAGACACGCGGTTTGTGGCAAAGAAAATGGGCCCTTCCGCCCCTATTTATAGCCATCATATCCGAGGATCAACGGCCGACATCCACATGATCCAACGGTTCCTAGGAAAACCGACTGCACGCTACCCAAGGTTGAAATCGGTTGAGTGCACGTTTTGACGTCCACAGAGTTTATAATTGGCATGACGTCCGCGCGTACCTAATACGTGATCTGGGTCATTTCCTAGTCGAGCCAAACGGTCATACAGGTCTAACCGAAGGTCCGCCCTCCGTACCACCTAGACATAGACCAAATCCACCTGGACTCATCATGAACTCCCCGCACCGGGTCAGGACCCCTAGCACGAGGAGTGGGGGGCAATTGATGAGGGGTGATTTGGCCCGACCTAGTAAGTAAAGGTCACGTGGACGCGACCTGCCAGCAGGATGACAACTCAGCAAGGGAAGCCTAGTCAGCAGTTCGGGAGCCTGGGTGCTCAGGCACCTCAGCACCAAAGCCAGTTCGACACCCAAGTACCGAAGTGACACGTAATCAACTCCAGAAGCTTCTCAGCAGACTCCGAATCTCCCAGGATCACACCGCATAACGGCAGGCCTTATCCTCTCCCCGCTCGGATCGGACGGTAACGATAGACTTCATTGACTAGTACGTTACTCTCCTTCTAAAGCGAAAACGGATCTCATCTACGCGGGCCGAGGATCACGGAGTCGTTTCGTAAGACCCACGGCAGCTCAACTATATAAGGGCATCAACCCCCCCAGGACCCAGGTATGCGCGATTTAGTGCATTCTAGCTCTCCTTGTTCTCAAACTCTCAACTCGCATATACTATTACTGACTTAAGCATCAGAGCGACCTTGCTGGGTTAGCCACCCCGGGTTCTCCGATACCTCCCTTTCCCTACAGTTCGAGCGACCTACTTGGCGACAGGCGTCCGAGCTGCCCTACAGCCAAGAGCATCCAGATCGCGCACCATCAAGGGGCCTTGGGTGAACATGAACAGTTGTTTTAAGGAAATGTGTCAAAATCATAAATTGCATCATGAGCCAAGGTTTACTCATTAGAGTATATGGAAAAAGAAAATACATATTACAAGGCATGGAAAGGGAACGAATGTTGTTTATTTGTGTTTCAATGCAAAGGGTGTTGAGACTTAAGGAAAAGAAAGAACCACAAAATCCTTGGAACCACATATAGGAGAGGAGAAATGCAGCAACTAGAAGCCAAAACAAAGAGTTAAAATAAGATATAAAGCAATCCAAAATACATTCAGAAATCACTTTGGATTCTCACCCCCACACCCCAAATAACTGAGTCTAAAAAACACCTTCCCTAGCAAGATTGTCAACAAATCCAATTGACAAGTCTTGGATTTGCCGGAACAAGGCGTTCAATCTAGCAGCCAATGATCCACCCACTTTGAGTAAATAACAGATTCTCCTTGGCCCAGATGAACTGTTTGTCAACCAATAACAGCATGGGAATCACCACCACAACAACACTCTCAAACCCAAATGGAACCAATAGTCAAAGAAAATCCACAAAACCCCCTGCTGACCATTTCCATTACCAAGAGAAAAAGTGAAGAAAATAAATCAGAAAGTCGTGCATTATTTCAGCATACCACTAGCGAACAAAAACAAAGCAACAAACCCTAGGAAAAATATCCAATACAACCACAAACTCTAAAATCCCAAAAGATGCCTCTTTTCCCTTTTGCACAGCAAGTCTAGCACCAATAAATAAGATTTCCTAATGTAACAGTTCACCCAAAATATAAATATATAACAAATGAAGGAAGAAGATAAGTGGGCAGAAAAGAAAGCCAACAGGGAACAAGAACAGGAAAAACATTAAAAAAAATGAGTGAAAGCAAAGTGTCTAAATGTAATCAAGAGAGGAAGATATTTGCATGATGTGACCTCTATTTCTTCTTTCTTCTTAAATGTTCTTCCTTTCCAAATTAAGATTCCAAACTAGGGTTTCTCTTTTTCTTTTTCTTTTTCATTTCATTTCTTTATTTCCATTTTCCTCGTTTTCCTAAATTATGGAAATTTCAGTAGGATTTCCAATAGCATAATGAAAGATCTTGAAACTATATGAATGCTCAACAAAGACTTTCCAGAGAATTTTGATGGTTGGTTCAATAGTTGTATGGATGCTTTATGGATTCAAAAGTAGAATGGTTTTTTAGGGGCAACCTGGTATTTAGACCATTAACTCACTCTGATATTTGTGAGGCGCAAAATGGTCAACTGAGTGGCAATTCTCTAAAAAGAAGAGGGAATGCATCAATTTGACACGGATAATTTACTAAAATATGTTTTCCCTCTGGATGGTTTGGTGCAATGCATGCAGAAATCCCAAAAAGTTAAGTTAAACATTGATTGGAACGTTTATCTTATAACGATGAGTACACATACATACTTGCATAACCCCTATAAACAATAACTCTTAATGTCAAGAGAGAGAAGAAACTTTAATCCTCCCAACTCAGAGCAAACAACAAAACCAACAGCAAACTCAAAACAAGCACTCCCCAACATAGAATCAAATTTCCCAATATACAGAGCAACAGACAACCAAAACATCCCAGAACAACAACCAAACTATTGGGAGTCACAAGGTAAACATTCTGCAGTCTGCACCAGACTATATTGTGCAAGGTAAATATTCTGCCCCATTTGATTTGAAAAATAAATTTCCCATTGGGAGTCATAGAGTTGCATTTTAAATCTCAAGGATTAATACTTGCGCCAAATCAGCAAGCCTACAATGTAGGACATCAAAATTTGTTTAACTTTTTTATCAGGATCAAGTAATCCAACGCACATGTAAAGGTACAACCATCAGGTGTTACACTAGCCCATTGCTGCTGGAGCCATCTTTATATGTATTGACTTGGAGATGATGAAGATTCATCTTGGAGAAGAAATGGATCAGGAATCTTGCTTGGATAAGCATGCATTGCACAAAGGATCATGGATAATTCTCGTATCAGCTATGGAATTTTCAGAAGTTACAGTGCCTCTTTTTTTATTTGGGAGGGGGATAAACAGTGCCTCATTATGCATCACCTTCTTATATCTTGATAAACAAGTTATGAAGCATGACACATGCAACCCTAAGCTTCTTTATGCACAAGTCAATGTAAAGTAGTAATCAATATATTGCAACTACATCATTATGCATATAAATGCAAAAAGCTAGAAGAAACATAATAGAGTACAACTACTGAATTTATAATCATTAAGTCACCTCCCTGTTATTAGCATATGCAGATAACCTCTCTATGAACATACTAATTGAGATAGCTTCTTCAACTAAAAAGGTCATTACCTAATGTTGGTACAAGCTTCTTCAACTCCAGGTCCAGGTACAGGAATGAAATCAAATCTTGAGTTAGGCAAGCAAGGAAAGGCAGAAATTGAAGATATTACTATTGGCTTTTTCGTGCAACATTCTAACAATAGTTGAAAAGAGAATTACATTATACACAAGAATCTCCCAGTCCTTACTGGAGTTCCTTGGCAGGAGAAGAACAATCCATGTACCTCAATACCATGTCCTGGTTGCACAATTCAGCAACTCGCATTGATGCAGCTAAGGACAAGATTAGACTACAGGGAACTCAATCCAAACACATATTCTTGAAGAAACAAGCTACCCATCTTAGGCAGGCATAAATCAAACTTTCAACACAGAAATCCAGACATTTTGGCACTCAAGTTATGATGCGTTATTTACATATACGCGCAACCAAATTAAATCTTCTGAATGAGTACAAGAAAACGCTTGAAAACTCATCCAACTCAAGCAACCACGAAACCCACTAGTAAAGAAATAAAATTTAGGACTATAGACGAGAAGTTTAACCTAGATTCTACAGCAAGAAAGAGCACATTAAATCCACATAAACTTAACAAGCAAATATTAAACCCTAACCCTCCAAAAATAAACAAGAGTGCATCAGATACAGCATGCAGAAGCTTCAAGCAGATGATTTTGCATAAGCACAGAAACGATCCAGAGATTCAAATTACATCCAAGAAGGAAAAAAAGAACCTTGATGTCACAGTAGCGATTTTTTGGACGATACAATGGAAAGTTGTAAGAGAGCAAAGAAGTAAAGCGAAGAAAAACTTACGATGCTTCTGCGGCGTTCAGCAGCAATGGCGAATCCAAAGGCAACTAAGCTTAGAACGACGACCAGGATGTAGACCAAAGTAGAGCCCCTGCCCTCTCCCATCCGGACTTTCTTCTCCTGCTTTTCTCTGTTTTTCTTTTGAAACTTGAGATGTGAGAAAGAGAAACTGTGTGGAATTTCTTCAGGTGTCAGAGCTTTCACAGGCACAGATCGCAGTTCACAGTTCACACACACACTCGTAAAGAAGAGAGTAAAGTGGAGTTTAGACTTTAGAGAAATAGTAGAGTACAGCCGGACAAGAACATGTAGCTCTCTCTGAATTTTCGTGTATGCAGTATATCAACTGGAGAGTCTGGAATTACGAAATTTGCCACTCATCTCACGTCATCCCAACTCAACTCAACTCAACTCAACTCGTTACCGATTTATGGACATTCCACATCTCATTTCCAATTTAGGCTCAGATACAAAATAATACAAAATATAAGGTTTTGTACTCTCATATTTGCATTTGTATTCCTTCCAAAACGGATTCTTAAGGGAAAATTCTTGATAGCTTGAGTGGCAATTTGTTATTCAAACTTTAAAATGTGATAATTCAGTATCTGAACTTTTAAAATATGACAATCCAGTACAATCTAGTATTTATCCATTAAGTGACATTTGAAAAGTCAAAAATGTCTTAAAAATGCCATCTAATTCTCTTTATCAACTATTGAAACATTGACAATAAAAATGAACAGTTTCAAATTCTAGATTCTTCTAAACAGTCACCAACTTTTTTGAATAGAAGAGGCTAGGATTTGGGACTATTCAGTTTTTTGTCAATGTTTGGATGGTTGATAAAGAGAATTAGATGGCATTCAAAGGGCATTTTTGACTTTTCAAATGTCATTTAACGACTAATTAACGGATTGTTTAACGACAGGTATTGGATTGTCACACTTTAAAGTTTGGGGACCAAATTGTCACTCGAGCCAAAGTATAGGGTACTGATCGGGAATTTTCCCTTTTAACAATTAGCAGCCCCTACTTCTTTGTAGAGAGGATCCACTATATCCCATCCGATAGTATGTTGCTGAACAATAATACCAACATGCAACTATCTAAATTTTATAATTGACCAAACATATTTAGTAAGAAATTTTATGGTGTATGTTGTTTGTAAATGATATTATTTTAATTAATAAAAAATTAAATTGCAAAAGAGTAATATAAGATATACAACAGAAATTTCATAGATGAATTGACTAAACATATTTATGTAAAATTTTGTGGTGAATGTTGTTTGTAAATGATACTATTTTAATTAATGAAATTAATGAAGTGTTAGATGCAAAATTAAGCTTATAAACAAATATCTTAGAAACAATAGGTTTTAAAATAAGTATGAGAGGTTAAGAGATAATTCAATATAACCACCTTAGGTACATTGGTTCAATATTCACAACAATGGAGAAATTGAGGAGGATGTCACACAAAGAATTAAAGTAGGTTAAACAAAATAGGAGGGGTGCATTTGGACTTTTGTGTGATAGGCAAATGCCACTTAGCCTCGTTCATTTTTCCGGTAAATGAGAGTGGGTAAGTTGATCAACACAAGAGTTGACCAATTTATCCACATTTATTTTGGGGCATTAGTGGGTCATGCAAAAAAGAATGACTCTTGAGCATGACAGTTACCTGGATAAATATTACCCTTTGTCCACTTAGGTAAATAATTTTTCTATATACGAGGAAAATTGCTAATACATGATGGGACAACATCATCCCTTCAATAATGACTTTTTTTATGGTTAAAAACTTAAAATGATCATTGTTTCACTTTAAGTGGAAACCAAAAAAAAAATACTAGTAAATGCACTTATCTAGACAAGTGTTTCCTAGGAAACATTTGCCTAAGTAAGTGCATTTACCCAAGTAATGGATTCCCAAAAAAAAGACGAACAAGGCCTTGGATTACAAGGAAAATTCTATGAAAGATTGTAAGACCAGATATGTTATATGGTGCAAAATGTTAGGCAATCAAAAAACATGTCTAAAAAAATGAGTGTGACAGAAATATAAATACTAAGATGGATGTGTGAAAAAACCAAAAATGATAGGATTAGGAATGAAGTCATCTGTAGGAACCTAAGAATAGATCCGATAAGTGATAACATGAGATAGGTGATAATATGGACGAGAGTAGACTAAGATGATTTGATAACATGCATGGAAGATCACCAAAAGATCCAATTGGAAGAATTGATTTGTTATAAGTGAAAGGGCTAGAAGAGCTAGTGGTAGACCAAAAAGGACATGGGTATAAGTAATAATAAATGATTTACGCATTAATAATTTAACAATGAATATAACTTTAAATAGAACATATTGACAAAATAGGATTTATGTAGTTGACCCCATATAGTTAGGATATGGCATTGATAATGACGATGAACTTTTAGGTCTTTCAGGCCCTTATGTGTGTCATAAAATTTCTCAAAAGGTTGGGAATTTTTTCATTATATCTTAGTAGTTTTATTAAATTTGTAATAATGTATAATCATTCTTTTATTTATATTATATTAATAATATTTTAAAGTTTCAAGAAAAAAATCGTATTATTGACTTTGCTCCAAAGTAAAATTTCATAAAATTCCATCCATATTTAAAATGATAGATATGTGCATGATAACACTTAAAAAAGCATGTTTTTCTTTTTATTATTACATAATACACATTATAGGTGCGGAAAGAACAAGGTACTAAGATCCGAGTCCGGATCTCCTACCCACAAGAATTTTGCCCACGTCTGTCCACATAACATCCCAGCCACACATGGAGAACATCTCACCCTCCTACATAGTATTATGCACACGAAGATGTTCCCAATGCATGGGGGTAGTCCGTTGTGGGTAGACATGGGCAGAGTTCTTGTGAGTAGGAGATCCGGATCCTGAGATCCATTGATGTTACCATTGAGAGCCTACAGTTTTATGGGTTTGGTCACCAACCTCCATTTCCAAAGAGACGCCAAGTGACCAATTCAACTATTGGGTGGGTGAATAGATGATTCAAGTTGCGATGGACTTGTTTAGTAAGAGAAAAGAAAAAAGGGTTATCCTTACTATTTAGCTAATTGACTAACTCTACCCTTACTACTTACATATTGTCTTAAACTATTGATACTGTTTTGGACAATTGACATCGTTGTTAAATAGTAATAGAAAAACAAAATGTTGAATTTGCCCTCTATTGTTCTTCAAATTTTCAAAATAAAACTCACCTGATAAAAATCTTCAAATTGGTGAAACCGCTCAAGCTCCACGATCTTGAACCAGATTAACACAATGTTGGCTTGCACAGGTTCATCTCTGACGAAGAGGGAAGAACACGGAGATGAATCAACAAAAGACTTTAGGATGTGGAGTCCTCATTCGATTAAACACGTTCATCACCGATCAAGTCCATTTCCAAAGAATATACTTCTTCTTTTTCTTCTTCTTCCTATTGCTAGAGCTTAGCTTTGATTCTTAACAATCCACATGTCAGCAAGTCTGGTGTTTATGCATCCAAACTTTTTCTTAACAATCCACATGTCAACAAGTCTTTTTCTTCTCCATGGGTGGGTTGTTTCTCTTCTACCTCCTATGTCGTCCATTTCACTTACTCAAACTCCTTTATGTACCCACTCTCATTCAAGTCTACTAGGTTTTGCTGAGCTAAGCAATTCCATCAAACCATCAAAATGAATAAATTGATGAAAAAAAGACCTAATTCTAACACAAACCCATTTCAAGTAACCCAAAACTCAAGACCCCTCGTATCCTAAAACCACAGTCCAAACCCATAACCTAAAAAGACGAAAAGCCATTTCCACACCTTTCTGCAGGTTTAGTGTATAGAAGTTAGTTGCAACTCTGCTTCTTTTCCATTCAAACTTGGAATCATGTTAAATCCATCTTCTTTTTTTTATTAGGGCAAATTATAAAGATCCCCCTGTACTTTGTTTTGCAACAAAAACCCCTATATTATGATCGTGAGACAAAGACCTCCTTCCGTTAGCCTTCTATCCAAAAAGACCATTACAATATTTTTTAATCCCCATACTATCCTTAAAGATGGGAATTGAAAATACTACAGATTGAACCCATTTAATCCCGACTATAGTCAAACGGCGATTGGCTGTTGGTACAATCCTACTGGTACAAACAGGCAAATACTACAGCCAAACAATGATTCGATCTTGAGTCAACTACACCGTCAGGATTGTACCAACAGGCAAATACTACAACGTCATGAGGAGAGAGGCGAAGAGTTGAAAATACTAAGTTACTAATGGCGATTGCTTGCTTCAGACTTTAGAGTTGAGAGTTCAGACATTGACACCGCAGGTTTGTACCAGTTGGTACTTGAAGGTCGTTCCGACGGGAATCCCTGTGTTTCGACTGCCAAAGGTGATATAAGCCGGACAGTTGACGTAGATATGATAGCCCCCGGAGATCCAAGTACCCACCTTCCACCTGAGCTTTCCATTAATCTTGATTTTGATCAAGACGGTCCTGAAATATGCTCCTGAGAAAACGAGGCAATGAGGTAAGGTGCAATCGACACAGGCATGTCGTAGACGAATGGAGACCAGATGTTGATGTCTTTGTGACCCTGGTAGGTGGGTGGAGTCAGGAGGGTGATCTGTTGATTACTGTATGTTGCGCACACATGCTTTTGGGGCTCTTTCGGAATCGTACTGGATATCCACTTTATAAGTTTTGGTTTTTCAGAACCTTTTCAAAAGATGAAACCCGATTCTTTGATTCCTGATTCTTATTGAACTTTATTTTGTTCTAATTCAATGGGAGTTTCAGAACCTTTGATTGTATCAGGAGTTTGATTTGATGTTAACTGAGACTTTTTTGTTCGTTTTTTTTTAATTGATACAGAAGGTGTGCTAAAGTTGGATTTACATGATGACAAGGCCAAGCAGAAGGCCATGAAGGCAGTCTCTAGCCTTTCAAGTGTCAAGATGATCTTTACCCTGTTTTCTTATTGAACTGAAGTAAGAAATCTCAGTTTTGAGAAAGAAAAATAGCCTGAAGCTATTGAAATAGCTTTTGCGTTTTTCATCTTTATGAATATGTAGGAATTGATTCCATCACCATGGACATGAAAGAGAAGAAATTGACAGTCGTTGGAGATGTGAATCTCGTAGACGTGGTGAGCAAGCTACACAAACTCTGGCACACAGATATAGTTTCTATAAGGCCTACAAAAGAGCTTTAGAAGAAGAAGGAGGAACCCAAGAAGGAAGAAAAGAAGGAAGAGCC